CACTGTGATCCACTGAACCAAGCAAACCTGCTTGTCTGTCTTAGCATTTGTGTGTGTATGCGTGTGTGTGTGTGTGTGAGGGTGTGCGTGCCCCTCTGTGGATACGGTGCGGGTCTCTGTTTACCTGAAGAAAATTAATCACTGACACTTTTAAGCAGGCAAAGTCAATGAAGATGAGCTTTCACAAAAACAGTGATAAGACAGAAAATGTGCCTTTCAGGATGAAAGCATGCTAACAACAAAATCCTACTGAAAGAAAGAACGATCTTCATGGATATGGTCACCTCTCATGTAATATTCCCATCCTGCTCTTTATGTCTGCTGGCCAGCTGGGCCGGTTGCAGCTGTGCAACTGGAAAGAGTACAAGTCCATCAGCTGTCGGCACTGCGCTACATGACCTACTGTGACCTCTGACTTTGCTGACAGTCACCTCAAAGCCAAGTGTGTTCATGACACACTTTCTTCCTGAAACCCAGGAAACATAACTGTTTTCAGATCAGAAAAACAGAAAGCTGTTATGTGCAAAACAAGCCTACCAAAGCTATTTAACTATTAACTAGTATTAACGATGTAGAGAATGTCAGTGTTCAGATCCAGAACAGCGTCTCTTGCTGCAGGAAAAGTTCTGTTTCAACAGAGATTATGACAAACTTTATGGATGTTACATTGCATGATCGACTGCTAAGAAGGCAACCCATTTGATCCAATGTACATGCAAGTAATGACATGTGCTCGGATAGAGGATAGATTATTTACAGTTGTAAGAAGCACCGCATTATGCACAACCCATAACCGGCTCAATGGCAACCTTTCTGAATCCAGCTAGACATACTGGTCGGGTGAAAATCGTTTATCAAGACAACAGGTATAAGCCAGCTGCAAAAGCTTTATCCAGATGATGTAAATATCTAATGGCTAATTGATATAGATTAGTTGCTTTAGCATAGGTATTTACTGATAGTTGTAGTTATAGGTATCCTGGCTTGTACATCCAAAAGTTAAAGGTCAAAGTATCATGATAAATTTTTGCATTAATAGCAATTTTAGTCTATGTTTATTTCTTAGAAAATTAAGATACTAACATTTACTCCTATGTTTCCAAAAGTTTGTCCACATTTCCTATTTAAGCATGCTTCACTGCAGATGGAAAGCAACATTTTGATAATATACCGAGTCCTGTTGATTTCTTAGGGAAGCCAGGTGCTGTTCACCTTCCCAGCACCGTTTGATCATCTGGGGGAAGAAAGGACTTTCTCTCCATCCTCCAAGCAGAAAACCATATATGATCATACATGACATATCAAAAATATACTTATTTGTTGGGATGAAGAAAATGTTGAATTTAAAAGGTCCAGTAACAATATAACAGTTTAGTTTAAGAGAACTTATCATTTGTTTTTATACATATCATATGAAGGTTTTTAGACTTTTCTGCCCTTTGTGGAGCTTTTTAAATTGTCATTTTAATTTTTTAAAAGTAAAGTGGGTTTACATTTTTTATGTAGGTATGCCAATTTTATTATCATGTACATATGTTTTTACCAAGCTCTGTGATTTCATGAATAATACTTGTATTTTACAGTCATTCCTACAATCACTTAATAAACTCGCCCAGTGTGACATGATTAAACTGTGCGAAAATAATCTAATTAAACTCATTTATTTACATGTGAAATTTCTGGATTTGTTACAGCTAAACTCTGTGCCAGTGCTGCTGCAATGTGGGCCCATCTCTGTTATTTGGTTACATAGCAGAGATATTTTCATTCATGGACTAAATAAAGAGCAAGCATTTGAAACAGTGAACAAGTGAGATAATGTCAGAGTTTTAAATTACTCTAATGCTGCAAAGTATACACAAGTTCCTAAGACTAATGGGGTAAAGGCTCTCTTCATTTGTGTGCTATTACTACTCAGTAATCGAACACAACACCCAGTATTGAATTTCTGTCTGATTATTTTTTCACATTTTGCAGTGACAAAATGCTATGTACTTAATTAGAAGTTTGACAGACAAACACAAGCAGTGCATGATTCTTAAGTGGAAAGTTGGTTGTGAATATTGTTAGAAATAAGACTCCGACCCATGTGGTGTGCATTCATAATATATTCAGTTTCCAAAATTTAATCGTTTGCCAAACTATCCTTAGTAGCAATTACAGCTGTAAGTCTTGCTTTGCCCAACTAGAAACACAAGAGTGTGTCCATTTCTCTTGACAACAGCTCAAATTCAGCGGGATTCAATGGAAGCTGGACATATGTGCAGCATTAGACTTGACCATTAAAACACATGAATGTGCATTGACCTATACTCATTGTTCTGCAGGCAGGTGAACCTTCACCCCAGTTCCAAAATTTCTCCAGCCCTTAGAATTTCCTTTCAGAAAGGCCTTCCAAATATCTGCATCCATGCTACGATCAACAGGCAACCATTTTCCCTGCCTCTGTTTAAGAAAATCCTCCACACATCAGGCCGGGTGACTTCCAAGAGCACTTGGGGTGCAGTGGATTTCACTTGGAGGAATCAGGTTCAGAAGGAATTAGTTATTTTTCAAGAGCATCCATCACTTTAAGCATGCTCACTGAGACGTTTAGACCTCCATCACTGCAGATTATGCTGCTCTGTGCAACACATGTCTGATGACAGAGGTCAGACACACAGAGGTGAAAGATCAGAGTGAGACCTAATGTCACTTTGCTGTTACAATGCAAGTGGCATGCAGGTTGAGAAGGCAAGAATTCACCACAATGGGGGGGGGGAAAGTAGCACAAGACATATGAAGAAATCTATTTCAAAGTAAGATGCATATTCACTGAACGATAACAAATAAAGCGGGCTTGACATATGCTGGCCGATCTCAAATGTTAACAATGCCCTAGCAGGCATAACCACACAATATACACACAATAAAACACAGAGAGACTTTGAATAAATTCTGGCCAACAAAGGAGCGCATCCAGTCAGCAGTGCATTCGATATTTCTGTGTTGGCGCCATGCAGGACTGTCAGGCAAAGGGCTTGAATAAGCAGCAGAGCATTACACGCTGTACAGTTTACAGCCACAGCTTATACATAGCAGCATACCCCACTGCTGAGGTGTTGTCACTGATACCAGCCAGACTATTAGCTTATAAATGGCAAGAAGGGCAGCTCCCTCTAGACTCACACATGACAGTAAAAGGGAAACGTGTTGTTTAATGTCTTGTCATTCTTCTTTTTTTTTTTTTTTTACATTTATCTTATTTTCCACCCATAATTACAGATTTGTTGCAGCAATTACAAATAATAAATCTGGCAGTGGTATTTCAAATAAGCTGAAGAAAATGACTGGGACTTCTTTTTCTGCAAATGTAATAATAATTTTATCTAACCTGCAGACGATGTGTTAAAGCTCACTACAAAATTAAAGTAAGATCAAACAAATTGGGGCCAAGTCATGACCAGACTTGCATGACTTGTAGTGCTTAATATATGTAGGTATAACATGGGTGGGAAAACAGGCGTGTGTTTTTGGAGCAATATTCTGGAGTTGGGGGAAAACGGTGTGTGACAGCATATTCCTTTACATGTCAATTAACCACATTTCTGGGTGTAAAGCAGGAAGTGCGCACTTAAAATCCCCTCGGCGGGAGGCGTTTTAGCCCGGGCTTCATTCTAATGGTGCCGCTGAAATACAACTCACCCGCTCTGAAGGTCAGGCAGAACGAGTCAGGTTGAAGAAAAGTGCGCGTCCGCTTCCCAGACCCACCGACAGCTTTCAAACGGGAACGGGGGGAAATAAAACCGCAAAGCAAAACAGAAACAAACGGCAGAAGCTCAGGAGTTGTAGGCGCCTCTGTGTTTTCACATACTGACCGCGGACAACTGCTCGCACTTCGGTTCCTAAATTGTTTTCGTCTTGACGGTCGAGATGTTGTCACAACTCAAGAGCGTCTGCGGTCACCTGTGCCACCACCAATAGCGAACCGCTAATGGGATTGTGGGAAATGTAGTTTTTGCTGTTCGTTGTCTTTTTGAACGAAAACGTGCGACAAGGTGGGTCTAAAAGTGAGATCGTTGGCTCTGCTGCCTGTGTTGGAAAGGCCCAGTCAAAGTCCAGACCTAAATACGATTGATGTTCCCAGGTGTAGCTATTTCATCAAGTCTCACTGAGTAGCTTGAGCTGTTTTCCAAAGAACTGGGGTGGAAAAAAGTCTAGTTGTGGAAAGCTGGTACAGACCTCTCAAAAATATTCTTGCAGTAAAAGAACTGAATACAAGTGCAACCCGCTTTTTAGTATTTTGTGTTTCTATAAAATTAACAACCATGCTTCATGATGGTGAAACAAGTTACTGTGAGTTTTCTTCAAAAGAGTACAGATTTAATGCGATTTAATTCACATTAGAAATTAAAAGAAAAATCTCTTCCATATAGACTTTTTTTTCAAAGTATGAACACTTGCAAGATTCTGCGTTTCAATTTTTTTGTACATGCAATGCGGATATGCGATATGCACTTGCATATGTTGAGCTCAGGCTCTGGACTTCACAACACAGCATGGCACACAACATATTGCTCTCGAGGCATATTGTAATCTAGTGATTCCTGTTAGCAAAACAGATTTATCTCAGTGTATTTAACAAACAAGCCCATCAGATTTTAAAGGATAGTGTCTTTTGTCATAAAGATACCAATTTGCAGCATGTGAAAGGCATAAACAAAGTTAAAAAGAAAAATGTTAAGTCTTCCCAACATGAAAAGCTTTAAATATTTATTGCATGTAATACTAAGAGCAACCACAGGAGGGAAGCATAAACTTTTTATTGTACTTGAAAGAGAGACCAAGCTATTCCTTAAAGCTGCTATATGTGGTTTAAGTTCGTGGGAAGGGTTAAATTACTTCCCACCCACCATTAAAAACAAATGTTTGACAGGATAAACAGCATTGTTATCTATCAGTGGCTATACCTTTATAGTTAATTTTCATTTCAGAAATAAATGAAAAAAGATTTGATAAACTTGAGTGAGCAGTAGTTTTATTGAAATCCAATGTGTACATTATCAAAGTCACTTTCATTTGATAAAGCTAAACCACCAAACCACCATTTTACATACAATTAATCTAAACAACCAATTGTCCCTTTGTAATCGATAAAACATCTAACAAGAATTTTAATACTTCAAGGACATGTTGATTCAATTAAGTCCATTTCCTTGGCAGTTAATCAAAAATATTTGACTGCAAATCAAGTATCATCAAAACTCTGGATATGGTTAAACCAATAAAAATGGTAGCACTGTCCCCATCATTAAGAATAATTGATCAACTATAACATTCTACAACACTGCCTGTGGCGGTAGATGGCAGAGTTTGGTCATGTGCAAGAAGCATCACCACAGAAGTGAAAAACCTGTTGAATTAGACGACAATGTCGACAAAAGGGGCAATATGTATTGCCCCTTTCTTGTAAAACAAGAGATGAAAATAGTCAGGTGTGTCTCCTAGTAGAGATACAGCAGAAACTGATTGAAAGGAATAAAATTCCCTTGATAAAATGTTTCAAATCTCAAAAAGAAATCTGCCAAATAAGTATTATATGAGAAACAAGCATGAACCAACTGTTGAAATAATAGTACTAATTACTGCCCTGTTGATTTAATATTTAATCTTCAAGGACTGTTTCTTTGCATAATGATCAACACCAGTCAATTCCACCAAATCTCTCTTAGCCATGTGGCTACAGGTGAAATATTCACATAATTTCCTCAAGTCAGTGCTTCCTTTTTAAACATACAATAACCAAAATGTCCCATTGATTGCGATTTGGTTTTCTGTTTTATGATCATTGTAGGATCAACAGCAGGGTCCCTGAATTGCTGTGGTGGGTTCCAACAATCTTATATGTAGGGCAACGAAGGGTACAGTGGATGCCACCAGTCCATGAGCTTCACGCTGTGCACGGGATCTAAGACAACCTGCATCCCGCCTTGATCCCCTCTCTTCTTTCCCCGCTGCAGAGGCGAGTCCTGGAACACCAGACGGACACGGTGGTGACGCATGTCCGTGCTCACATTGATCGTGAACTGTAAAAACGAGAACATCTGATTAGGGTGGTTGGTGTTGGAGGGAAAATTGGTGGGTTAATGTCCATTTTGGAAAATAATAAAATATTACAATTTGCAGCTCAGAAACATCTGTTGTTCAGACTGCACAGAGAGCATATCAATGTTATCAGGGTGGATTCAAATATTGAATTAGTACTTGTGTTTTAGTGAAACCATGTTTTCACATCACATACCGGCACATCTAAAACATATAATAGCACACAAAAGTTAGATTTTTTTTAGTCATTCATTTTATAAAGTGAAACTAATTATTTATTTCACAGAGTGAAATATTTCAAGCTTTTATTTCTTGTAATTTTGACGACTCTGGCTTACAGATCAATGAAAACCAAAAACTCTCTCAGAAAAATCAAACATTGTGGAACTGAAACACTGGGAACCCGTGGTGTCACAACCTAATGTAAGCTAATTAACTTAAAACAGTGGAAGGGTTCTAAATCTGGGTCAGAAGGTTACACAATCATGGGAAAGACAGATGTCCAGAAGACAGTCACTTTACAAGAATGGTGAGCCACAAAAGGTCATTGTTAAAAAAGCTTGCTGTTTAAAGTGTCCTGTCTCTAAGTACAGTCATCGAAAGTTGAGTCAGCATTATGCCCCGTGAGTCTGTGTAGGTCATAATACACTCATATTTTAAAAGTTTTATTGAACATAGATTTTAAGTATTGTAATAAATGAAACAGTGATTTGGGTTTCACCATCTGTATGCCAAAATCATCAGAGTTTTATGACAAAGAAAGGCTTGAAATAATATAATAAACAATGTGTGATGAATAAGAGTCTGAAACTTATATATACATATTGAACTGTCAAGACATCCATATTAATTATCATTTAAACTATCAGGATAGCACATACTTGTGATAAAGCACAATGTATGTGCCCAGAAATAAAAGCTACTTGCCAGGGTAAGTGTGAGGCCCATGGCTACAGGGATGAAGATGTAGTTAAGTGTGGTGACCTGAAGCACACAGCAGTCAGAGTCTGGATTAATATGGACTTCTTCATATTGTTTGGGCAGATGCAAAGACTTGGCACAACCATTCTTAAAGTGTCCCTGCATGGATAGATTAACATAGGACTCAGACAGCTGTGACAGCAAGGGTCACCACAAGAAAAAACTAATAATTTGAACACAAAAAAGTGAGTTTACTTTAAAAATAGACATCCTACTACCTGTTTTTTAAATTTGAAGTTGAACTCCCACAATGCTTCTGGTCGAGTCCCTGACACCTTTTTGACCCAGAAGAGAAAACACTGAAAGAACAGAGAATAGGGATTTAAAAGCACATCTTTATAAGGTCAAATGTCAGCTTTTTCATCTTAATTTTTATATTTCTCATAAAAGTAAACTTAACAAAATCTGCCTTACATTTTAAGCATTTACATTGCAACCCTTGTTCTGTCACAATGAAAATCAAACCACAAACAAATCAGATTCAATTTGCCCAAGACACACCAGATTGTTTAAATTCATCTTTGTCACTACTTTTACATAGAGCAAGCAGGTCACAAGCAAATACACTAAATGTTAACATACCTTGGAATTGAGCAGCGTTGTGGGCGTGGATTCTGGCAGTGCAGGACTTTTTGAAACACGCAAGCTAAACGGCTCATACAAATGGAAAAGGGAGCGAATCACACATGCCCGTAGACAGCGCATCCTATCTATAGAGTCAGGCTGGAGGCGAAACGGCAGAACAACTTCAACCCTGTAGTGCCTTTAAGAAAAGAAACAGCAAATGGGAAGGTTTGAGAAAAAATATATTTACGTTTAATCTCGAAACTAACAATTAAGGTTTATTGTTTTGAACAATTGAACAAGAGGAAAATTATCGGAAAATCCAGTAGGTGGCTCCACTTGTTGCAGTTCAGCTACAGATCTCTGCTGTGTGAAATTATATTTCACACAGGCATATATTCAGGCATTTCAAAGAAGGGGCACATATATACACAGACAGGACACCAGACTACCGCCGACCCTTTAAAGTGAAATCTCAAAATTTAATCAGATCTGATTAAATCAAATACATTAGATTAAAATAGCTCCAAATATTTTCAAACAATGGCCTTTCTAAGATGAGTTCAAAAAGTTAAGTGCTGTTACCAAACTGAATAACTTAATTATGTTTTAATACAATATAATACAGAAACAAGATTTAGTTCTTATTCTGAATATGATGCCGACTTAAAAGCTGTATTGTGAGCTTAGTCACATCGTGCATACTAATGCAATTTAGAGAATAATAAAGAGCCAGGAAAACATCAAAGTAAAATGTTTTACTAAATTGTTTAAAGACATCACATAAAGTGAGACAATCATCCAGATGTCCATGCTTTGAAAGAACGTCTCTTGCAAATACTGCAAGTATTTGCAAGAGACATTAAACATTCCATGTATTTTGATTTTAAGACACATCTTACAAAGTTATGTTTAAAGATTCAGTTTGAAGTCAACTAAAAACTAGTCAAACCATGACAAACCAAAAATTCACCAGCATAATAAAAAAACATGACTGTACACAAACGTGAAGGGTGAAATCCCTATTTACATCCTGGTTTTCAACAATTGAATTAAAAATACTTCATAATGGATTTTAACACTTATAGCAAGTGCCATATTGTCTGCTGCTTTCCTCCAAAAGTTTAAAATCTTTTAAAAGATTGTTGTAAAAATATGGTCATAATATTAATGGGTTACTTTTATTTTTATTCAATAAATCATATGCTTCTATTTTTTCCCACAATTTGAAAAATATTTTACTACCAAGTTTCAAATTTCATTGTTGTGATCATTCTATTTAAAAACATTTTACTAATGCATAATCATATGGTGCATTTACTAACCTGAAAAGGTGAAATTTTTGTGTTTACAATCTGTACATTTCTTCTCAATGTATTGCTATTGAAACTCATTCTTTTCAAAATTTTCTAGTGACCCGAAACTAATCACCTTCTGTAGAGTCTGGTCCAGAAAGCCGCAGTGCAAGTGACTATCCATGCATTCCTGCAGATCAAAGAAAATTTGCACACATCCTCAGGGCGAATGTAGGAGGAAAAGCACCAACCAAATATCTACTGGATAGTCCTCCCATCACTGCTCTCACTGCTCTCTGGGGAGGCAAGACAGGAAACATCGAATAAACTTGAAACAAGTAACCACTTTCACCATGAACTGACACAAGAAATCAATGAAACTGCACCTTTCTTTCTCTTGCTTTTCTTCTTGCGGGCCACTTTAGTTTCACTTTCCCCTTCGTCGTCCTCGGGGTCATCACTGCTGCCCACAGCGTCCGCTCTGAGGCTCGATGCAGAGGATAGGACTTCCTCCACCGCCCCCTGAGAGGCTTCCAACCCACACAGCAATTTCACTGGAACACATGCGATTCACCGATTAAACATTTTAGTCTCGTTTCCATTTAGGACACGGCAGTCGCTCTTCAGACATTTTTTACCTTCTTTTTCAATCGCATTTGCGACAGCTTTCTTTACTCTACCCGACTTCACAATGGCTGGGTCAGCATTAGCAAAATCAGCAACAGTGACTGAAAGAGCAGGAAGAAAGTCTCAGAAACAAAACGAACAATGCATTTAGACAGTTATATCAATGTGACTAAACCGAATGTATATAATGCTTAAGATCTTGTCCGTCCAGGTTTTACTAAGTTGAACTTGACTTTATAAACCTGAGCAACTGTGTAAGCTCAGAGGTTCTGTCACAGATTAACGGCTAGCCTCCTCCCGGCTATGCTACCTGATTCGCAGCAAATGTCTCCGGCCTTAAATTTCAGCCGTTTTCGGTTCCCTTTCTTGGGCATGTCGATACCAGTGATACAAGCGACTAACGGGGCTGTGAGTCCTGCCATGGCTCTATGGCAAGCCGAGTTAAAGAGAAAGACAGAAAAATGACAGGAAAATTAAAAATGGTTCCGCCAGGATCTTCAGCCATCATGGAATGACGTCACATACTAAAACCGCGAGAGTGAAGGCTGTTCGCGCTTCTTCTTCTCCTATTTTGACATGACATCTGGTTAGTAGCGATACTGCCATCTTCTGGGATTAGGTGGAAGAGTTTATGGCTTCGATAGACTGTAAGCCACTCCCAGATATCTTTTAAATCCTCTTGAGCAATCCTCTTCATATAAACAGTATAAAGTCTGGCCCTTTTCACCAAGTATGTATTTTTTCAGTGTGTTGAAGTAGGCTATATAAATTACATCTGGTTTCACGTTGACAAGAAAAACATGTTTATTTTCATTAGTGGAAAGCTAAACCTCTTAATATTGAAGTTTAAGATACTTGCTTTACTTGGCTAGAGTGCAAATCTGGGCTCAAAACGTATTGTTATTCTTTCTCCACTATGGCACACAGAAACTTAAAAGCATGTATTGTTTTATTTAAGTAGTATAAATATGTCTGTTTTCCTCAGTGACAGATTGTTTTGCCAGTAGTTGCCAACATATGTGGTTTGCTGATAAACTGATGTCTGACATCTGTTAATTTATATGCATCTACATTTATTCCATTTTTTGCATTTTGACTTCACATTGAAGATAACCTTACCCTTTGCCTGTCATGTAAAACATTTTCAGCACCCCTGTTCAACAGGTTTACCCATTAAGGTAAATCCCTGACCAGTAATTGCTTGAACCCAACTACAGAACACAGAGTTTACCTTGCAAGCCTTACCAGCCATATAAGCTTTTTGCCCAATGTTTTTTTTTTTTTTTTTTTTTTTTTTTTTTTTTTTTGTGTGTGTGTGTGTGTGTGTGTGTGAAATTGCTCAAGATTAGTCAGACTCTATAAAGAGAGCTAGTAAAAATAATCTTTAATTCTTACCACAGATTGTCAACAAGATTTTGTTTGGGATCTTGATTGGGTCATTGCAATATCCAGTGATTTAAATCAATGTATAGTTCAGCTTTAAATTGGACTCCTGAACTAATTCATTAATTTCAACAATGTTTTCTCTCTCCAGTTTCCCCGGTATGCTAGATTAATGGACAAAAGCATTCAGAGTTGTCCTGTCAACAGATAATTCCACCTTTTAATTAGATGACTTCTGAATGCAGTCAGCTGAACTACATTTTATGTTGTCACTCTTCTTTCAAGATTTCTTCAGTGAACCTTTCTGCAAAACGTTAATAATTTTGCTTCTACTACATCTTTTTTTTTATACCACTTTGTCTATGGCAAATACGGCCCACAATAATTATAGGCCAACTCCCAATAGAATTTCATTATAACAACGTGCTTAAAAGTTATCAGTCAAATCAAATCAGTTTTTATGTGTATGGTGCCGATTATTTTCAGCATCATAAATATTCAGTGTTAAATATTTAATTTTAAGAAGTACTAATTTAATGCAGGGAAAGCTACAATATTTTAGTTGAGCTACTTTTATTAATACATTCATATCTTGGCATGACCCGCAATGACAATGACTTTGACACCCCAGGGCATAAAAGCCCAGTAAACTCCACTAAAGCACTCTGATGTTTATGAATGCAATGTGACACAAACATCAAAAAGTAACTAGAGAGAAAAAGTTGATCGCTGACAACAGTCAATAGATACTATTTTTATCGTCGTTAACAGTAACTACAGCAACATTGCATTGCTATGGTTACTGCAATCTTTGAAGTAATTGTTAAAAGAACTGAGCTTAATTTATCATGGAGGGAAGAGGAAAGACGAGTTTTAGCTGGAATCCACTGATAGCAATACACCAATAAAAAATTACGAGTGCTGCTTGTCACAAAATATTTATGTCTAAAAGATTGGATAAAATTCTCAAGATCCCATGATTTTCCTAAAAATGGATGGGTACTAAAAATAATTTTTGCTTCGTGATCATTTTTTATAAATTTTGTACTCCTTTATACTCAAGTGGTATGGTTTTATTCAAGGTAGGGATAAATTCAGACCTGTTGGAAAAGCAGATATTCAACTATAGCCATCAGAGAATATTGTTTTAATTAAGGTGTGTCCACAGATCCCATTTTGCAACATGCTGTTTTATCCCGATGTCTTCCTATCAGAAGCATTATACATTTTTTAGCAATATAAGCTACAGCGGTTTGTCTGTGGGATCATTTCATTAGTTTGTGCTTTGCAGCACTTTAAATTTATACTGACCTTTGTAGGCCTAATGCATACAAGGAAAGACTTTGGAGATGCCTTGAAACATTCTTTTAGTCATTGCAGTTTGTACCTTTCCAAATTGCACTAATCTGAGTCATCAGGAGCATGGAAATGTGAAAGTTTAGTTTGGGTTTCATCACTTTTGAGCTATTTGTCATTTTGTGTCACAATTCTTTGGATTTTGGATGTTAGTTTTGACGTCACTTTATGTTTTTTATAGTCAATAGATGGAGTTCAATCTTAATTTTTTTTTAAGTAAATTAAAAAATTAGGTAAAACAATTTCTGTTTCCCTAGCCCTTCCATCAGCAATTCTGCTAGATTAGCCATAAGGCACCCTGAGAGGTTTTCACCCTTTACTGTAGTTGGTGCTTCCTTCAATTATATTCCAGTTGCTTCTTTTATTTTTCTGCCATCAAAGTTATGTTTGTCGCTTGTACAATAATTGTGTTGTGTTTTTAGTAAAGCACTTTTGAGTCGTTTTTGAGATGAAAATATGTTGCATAAATGTGCTACACAAATAAACGACTCAATTCATCTCCCTGACTGGGTTTGTCCCGTGTTGTATCTTTCTCTTTGATGCCTACAATTTTGTAATTTTGCCTTTTATTTTTCATTCAATCACTTAGTAATGATATCTGCCTCTTCCCTGTGTCACATAGTCATCACTCCGTGAGAGGTGAGCTGGTTCTTTTCCCTCCTGTTTTTTAACAAGTAAACTGAAGGAAAAATATGTTTCACTTGGTATGGAATATATTCCACCCACTAACAAATGTCACAATAAATAAATTCTTAATGACACCTGTCAGTGGTTGAAATGTTATGCTTAAATCCCTGATTCATTCAAGATCCTGCAGGGTGCGCTGTGCACCCCATATGCATATCTGCTTGTAGCTATTGCTTGGTCAACCTGAAGCCACTGGATAGATGGGGGATCATGTCCCAGGAGCTGTCAACAGTGTGCTCGTCTCTCTCTGATGTTCTGAAGTCTTGGTCTGAGTTTTAGTTGCAGCCTCAACAGCTGGCCGTAGATCCTGAGTGGGAGTGGGTTCTGTCTGGGTGGGTTTCTCACTATTAGACACAAGCAGCTCATTGTAAATACTCCGGTCCATACAGCAGCTGCTGCTTAATAGTCATTCTGTTTAAACCTAATATAAACGGCGCCTCCTGCCACTGGGAAAGCCCCCATTGTGAGACAGATATGGACTGGAGAAAGCAGCTACTCCATATGATCATTCTCCATGAAAACCATCAGTAAGACTCAGATTAAAATACAGAAAGTTTCCTTTCACATCTTGAAGTTTCTAGCCTGGTGGTCCAGTCAGCATTTATCAGACCTCAAATAGCTCCCCCTAGAGTCACAACCTGCTCCACACAACTCTGAGACAGCAAGCTGCAGGAAAATGTGACATTGCACAGACAAATATTCCAATTATGAGTCTATTGTCTATTGACTGATAGATCTATATCATATATCTATATCATCTATATCATTAGTACATTATAATGCACACATGTAATCATTTGCTTTTATATGACAAATTATGTATGAGTTTGTTCTTTAGCATAGAAATTGACCATACATATGAATAACACAGAAGGTTTTTGATCACACAATTCTGATTGTTACTGAGTGACCATGTGATACATTTCAACAAATCAAATAAAGGGGAGGATAAAATACTTTCTCACTTCTTTCTACCCCTTTTCAAACAGACAAGCAGAGGAAAGCTAATTGTTTCATTCTCCATACTGTACGAATGTTTTATTTTTTCTTGTCTTCTGGCTACTTGTTTGACTGTTTTTAAATATGTTTGAAATAAATTATTAGAAAATACAAATATAAACTGTGCTCAAAACCAAACCTTAAAAAAAATCTCACTGCCCCTGTCAAGCTTCCTTTACTATCTTAGCAATGAAACAGCTAGCAAGGTAAAGCTATTCTAGTTATTATCCTGTTTATACAGCTAAGTAATTTTTTTTATTGGAGTTTTTTTTGTTGTTGTTGTTTTTTTTTTACTAAACTCACTAAACTTACTGTTTATTACTGAAACCTTACTTCACATCAACAGGAAGTGTCAGCTATCACTTTAGGGGCTGACTCATTTTTAATTGACTCCTGTGTGTGAAGAAATGAGAGCTTGACATTCTCTGTGTTTGGATGTGTGGCCGGCCTTATGTTTGCTACAGTGTACATAAGTCCAACAAATATTGCGCCGTGAGGACCGACGGCTCGTTGTGGGGCTCAAAGCCCAGCTGTAAGAAGATGCTGTTTTTTTTGGGGCTAGAGGTCAGGGGTCAGTTAAGGACTTAGGTGTGAATTGAGTTCAGTTTAGGTAGGCTTAGGCATGCCGTGGTAATAGTTAGGTTTAGGGTATGTGTCAGTGTTAGGCTATATAAATGAATGAAAAATGAATGTGAGTCAATGCAAAGTCCCAGTGCAGATAGAAAGATGTGTGTGTGAGTGTGTTTGTGTGTGTTTATCTTTGATTCTAAATGTGTATAATTTGTGTCTCCATTGTAAAGCCGGGACCTGTATGCTGCAGGTAGGGAAGGGGGCCCTCATCAGATTTTAGTCTCTGATTTTAGTTATATCCAGAGGGAACTTTTTAATCCTTCTTCAGCTGTTCAGTGTTTTTTGTGCCTTTACAAGATGTTCCAACGATGTCACAAAGAATAGTGCTTTAGATATATTTTAGTTGACTGCCTGGGTAATCAGTGACTGTATTCCGGCCAAAGAGTAAGAATTAAACCTTGCTTATTTGAAATTCTGCAGGAATGAAGAACCAGCACTTCC